TTATTGATATCTATGGAAGGAGAAATAAAGTGTTAGCTGATCTTACACAACATAAAAAACAACATTATTAATAAATCTTTGGACTGGATCATGCATTTTAAATTTTATAGAAAATTATGTAATGTGTTTTACTTACAAGTTGGAGGTCGTTTGGTTTCTGTAAAACGAAAAATATATTTTTAGTTTGTAGAGTAACCAACTTCAGTTCCCACATTTAATCCACAGTATTGTTTCTTAACTGTTTTTATCCTTAAACTGGACATGCAGTAATCAAGTGTTCATTTATGTAAAAAGCAGTATAACTTTATAGTTTCACTTTGACCTTAAATTTTAATTTGTATTATAATGATTTTTATACCAGTGTAAAAAATATAATCTGCATAGTAACATAGATTTAGGATTAAATTACAAAAAAACTCACTGAATAGTTTCTCACTGATTGGATTTCTGAAAATGACTCCAACCACAGCGACAACAACGGCAGCAATAATCACTGCTCCAGTGGTGATTACCGTGATCCAATTCCCTATGAAATAAATCACAAACCAAAACATTGTTGGACTTTTTTTTCTTAACCAAACAGCAAACATGTACCATGCTACCTCAATTAGTTTATAGTCTGTATAAAATGCTCAAGTCTGCTATTCTGCTGTTACAGAAGTTTGAACCTATAATTGGTAATTATTTCACTTTCCTTTTGTTCTTAAAGAGAATTTTTAAATAAAACAGTCTTGGTTTTAGCATTAGTTATAAGTAAATGACAGGTTAAAATATTTCAGATATTTTATGGTTTTGGTAACAAAACCAATACTTAAAATGACATAATAGATTAAACAGTATATATTTTAACCAATTAAATTGTCTGCAAAAATCTTGTAAAGTCAACTAAATTACTTCAATAATTTTAAGTAATTTTTGGTTCATCAACAACTTTGATAAAGGTCTTACTTTCATTGGTCAAGATGTTGGATTTCTCCAGTTTGGTGACGATGTCTTCATTGACTCCTGACAGCTGAAACACACATTCATAGTTGCTCCAGTCTTCAGATGAAACGGATGACAGATCCAGATCAACACTCATCTGGAAGGTCCCATCATTGTTAGGGAGGGTTTCTCTTTTGACCACACCATCATGGATCTCTTCTCCATCTTTCCTCCAGAGCGTCTCTGCCTTGTTAGGATAGAAACCTGTAGCGTGGCAGCAGACTGGAGAGGAGGAAGACTTCTGGAGGAGAGACACTGAAGGTTTCTCTATAGTGGGAAAAAGCAAAGAAATGTTGATCTAATGGAGTTTCTCTGTCAGACACTTTGATTTTAACACTCTAGTTTTACTTTTATTACCAAGTTAGGTACGCTGTTTAGAAATACTCATGATACTTGTCAACTCTTTCAAATGTAATGTTGAGACTAAAGATGAAGGAATCTCTTATAAATGAGCCAAATAGAAAGTAAGAAATCAGAGTCGTCAAGAGAAAGAATAAAAAACAACTGAATGAAAAAAGATGTTTCCCAAAACATTAAAATTACAGATAAATGAATATTTCTTCAGTGAACTAATAGGTCACCTGGTTCTACCTGTTCTCATGAGAGAAGTCCTGCCATAGATCATATATGTCTTTACCCAATCAGGACACCTCTGGTTGAGGAAGCTGTCTGCCAGAGCAATCCAACCTCTGTTATTGTCCCATTTATCTTTGGTGATGACAGCTTGAGGTGTTGGAGCGATCCACTTCTTTGTGCTCAGGTCAAAGGTTATGAAGTCTTCTCCATCATACCCGTACTGCATAAAGCCTTTTTCCACTTTTGCCTCCTCATCCCACTCACAGCCATACATCCATTGGTAAACATGCATACCTGGGAACACAGGGTGATACAGAAGTCATTAAAACCTCACATAATTTTAACAATTACAGTCTAAACTGAAGCTACATTTGGTTAAAAAAAGCTTCAAATTGAAAAAATGACTCATACAGCAGATATCATTTATTCTCCACAAACAAGACATTTGCAGACAAATTGAAGCCAACATTTAAAGACAGTAAATCTGAGCATCAAGTAAACACTGATGGAGGTACCAGAAGTCCAAATTCAAGATAGATGTTAAGAATATCAAATACTGTTTGCTTCCCATTATGACCAATGGATATTAAGAGTTTCCCACTGTTTAGATATAAAATAAACTTTGAATTTGAAGATTTGTTTGTAATTGTTAATTGTTATAGTGTAGATATTTTGTCAGGGTCCAGGGTAGAATAAGTTCTGTTAAGCTGCTTCCTTTTGCAGGGTTCAAATACACTGGGGTTTATTTGGTCCACATTAAATTTCATGCATGAATCACTTTCCCCAGATAAACAAAGGCAGGAGGCGGATTGTTTTAGGGCCCGAGTCTTTCATTCTAAATTTACCTCATATTCACAAAGAAACAGATCTGCATAATTTGAGTCGGTGTGTTAGAATAGGGTGTTGTACTAAAAGTTATTAGTTTCTCTGATGATATTTTTCTCAATGAAGAAAATGTCCACTAGTAACTCAATGTGGAGAGATTGTTATATTCTCAACTTCTCCATTAATTTCCTATGGAACTTGTGCAGTAAGGAAAAAGTCGCTTGCCCTCCCATAGCCAGGTGACGGGTGAAATCAGTGCTTGTGAAATTTCCAACTCGTAGATGTGTTCACACAGGATAGCAACGAAATACAAGCAAGCTGAAAATTGTTCAACTTTTGTCACTGATGTTCCGATCACATCCTGTGTGTTGGGTGGAAAATGATTGAAGAAGAAATGGTGCTACTTTTGAGATTAAGATATTGTCCCATTCTTACTTCAGCTGAAAACATTAGTTACTGTTCCTTCTAATCTTTTTCCATATTTGCCATTATTGCTGCATCTGCTGTGATTCTCGCTTCCCATTTATCTTCATCTTCTACTACTTTTCCATTTCTCAGCAGTAATTTCCTCAATAGAACCACATTTTTTGAAATACGATTCTTCTTTTGTAAGACCACCGTGTTTAAAATCCAGTAAACCTCAGACTTCACCAACTGCTGCTCCGTAGAATATTAAACAGTCCTGTCACAACAAACTGTAAGACCTATGATTAATGTGTTGAAGACCAACTTGAATTCTGTGACAACTTTAAGAAACTCAAAGTCTTTATTTTTAGACACATGAATTTAAAACCTTTTAAGGATGCGTGAACACCCTGTGTGCTCGGCCTCCATCAGTCTTTCTTAGGGCCCCATCATTTGTCAAACCTTGTGATGTCCTCAGAAATAGAGCTGGTTTCTTTCCTTTTCAACAAGGGAGTCTGGAATCTGGGTAACTCAGATTTAGGTATTCTTTAGCAGTAAATTGAATAAAAAAGAACTGGTTGAAATATAGAACATAATGCTGAGAATGGTGGCTTCTCAATAAACATAATGTTCAGTATCACTGATAACTATTGTGATATTGATATAACTGGTGTTTTAAAATCCCCATTTCTAGGTTTATGTCTTGATACTAAATAATTTTATTCATCATTTAACAATTATTACTGGTTAATATCTCAGTGGTGAAATGGTTTAACAGGTGATTGTATTGGCTAATAAAAGAAATGTTGCATTAATCGATGTAAATTTCAGCCATGATTCTACAGTATTTTTATTACACTGACCAGTAGAGTCTCTACATATTGGATTACCATATGTGTCTGTGTGTGTATGATGGTGTGTCCTACTTCCCACAAGCAACAAAAATGATCAGTAACTGATCAAATTAACACAAACCTCCTGTTTGGTTGAAGCGCTGCTTCAAGATTTCAATGCTGATTTTGTAGGTTTGTTGGTGACGCCAAAACTTTTCAGCTTCCCTTTTCCAGTACTCCTGATCCATGTTCTCCTTCATCCAGTCCTGTTTGGGCTCTGCTCTCCCGCTGTCACTGTCATAGTAAACCATCTGGACATCATCAACTGAAGCAACAGCCACAAACTCTGGGAAGTTTGGCACTTGAGAGGATGCAGTGTAGAAATACTTCATCGAGTGGGACTCTGAAAAAAAGACAATGATTTGAGAATTTGTAAAACAATAACATAATTAAACATTTTCTGAAACTTAGACAAACCAAGTAATAACAACTGCATCTAATAATAATAATAATAATAATAACCTTTACATTAAAATACCATTCAAAGTTGGTGATTTTTGAGTGGTGTATTTAAAAAACATATAACATTTCATGAGTGAAGTATTTAATACATACTCTTATACAATTTTATTTTTAAACTGCTATCTTTATTTATCTTCATCTTAATTATAGTACTCTAAGTAGTAATCAGCAGATATTCGGGTGATTCTCTGAATTCGGTGCATTTTGGGGTCTCAGGTTCTTAAAAATATACCACAAAACATTTTGTTTTTGATCACTGATCAATGAGCCTCCAAGAAAATTTGTCTCCCCATCTTATGCATAAAATTCCAAACAGTATTATGCATTTCTTTATTTGGGTTGCTTTAAATTCAACCCCGTAACGGGACAATTTCATTCCTCTATGAGTTTAACTTTATAACATAATTAAACCAATTCTTCCAGTTCCTTTGAGATCACCTGTCCCTTGATTAAAATAACTAATTGTAAGTAAATTTTATTTAATTCTGAATTATAATAATTAGACTTAGAATATTGCAACTTCATGTAAAAGCGCTTCTCATAAATCATGAAAATACACTTAAAAATAAAAATTAAATCAGGCTTTTTTTATGTTTTTGAATCATTATTTAAACTTTACATACAGTCCAACAAGTATTAGTTTTGCTGTTACTATAAAAAAAAATCAATACAGTGTATCACGTAACAGGGTTGAACCTATTGCAAAAGTTAACCAGGCTGTAAAGGGGATGAACTCTCTGGCTGGTCTTGAGCAACATATGATATGATGAAAACAAGAAATTAATATACTTTTCAAAGACCATTCTTTACTTTTTCCCCAAACAACAATAAATATAATTTACGCCCGTGACAGGGTTGAAAGGTTGAGCTTGACGATGACGGTATTTGGATAAAAAAATAACCAATTATAGGTAATAAACTTTCACTTAAATCTCTTTACAGAATGAACAGGAAGAGACTTGATGTCACTTCCAGGTCACAGAGGAAATGGGACTTAACCATTATTTACAAAAAGGAGGGATTGGTATGCTGCTACAGGGTTGAACAAAACTTGAGGGACAGGATTAAAAAGTGCTATTTTATACATATTTCATGTATTTTTCTTATATTTCTATTATTTGGGTTAATGTATACCTAAAAAATTTGATAATGGTACAAATTACTTGCAGTTACTGGCTATTTTTATTTGTTTTATATTCTGTGAAAAATGAACATTGGTCAGTGGGGACAAGCTCATTTGGTTGACTTCTACACTTCAACAACCCATAACATTTTTAAAACATGCTTTTTAAAATATATTTGCATTGTATATTACCAAGACACACAGATATTTCCATTTCTTGATTTTCTCAAAAAATGTGGTTTGCATTATATGAAAATCTTTGAGATAAACCTGTGGGACACAAAAGGCACCGAATTCAGAGAATGACCCTTTACCTATTTTTAGGTTTTTACATTTCAAATGCAAAATGTTTAGGGATTTTTATTTTACCTTTACAGAAAGATTCAATTCAAGTTTATTAAGTTTATTCAAGTTTAGAAAAAATAAATCAGTCTATTTTTCATATGGAGAGTCGGAACAAAATTTGACCAAAACAAGAAAAAATAAATAAATACAAAAACCAGCAAAATACTTTTCTAGATTTAATAATTTTTGACAGTTTCTAATGTAATTTTGCCCTATTTAAAAAGAAGCACCTCAAACATCTGCATTATTTTTACATGAGATACAGTTTGGCTTAATTTTATGAAAAGACACTTAACTGGACATCTTAACAGAATTATCTTCAGTCTGATCTAAATATTTTCTAAAATTAGGAGTTCTGTTACATAGGCCACTTTCGGCTATGATCTTGTAAACTATATTTTCTGAATAATAAGCTGATATGGGTATTATATGACATATATAGAATATTACAACAAAATTGCCTTAAGTACCTGTTATTCCTTTCTGAAACAATAAATTAAATAATCTACAGTTACCTAAATGTAACCTCTATTTATGGCCCATTGTCTTTTTCTTCACTTTACCATATTTCTGAGTTTTCTTCCTCTATCATTGTTTCTTTGTGCTCTAGCTTCCTGCATCATACTGCAGAAATGGACTACCAAATTGTAAATAAGTGTTAAACATCAGCTTTTTCAAATGCTTACACATGTTAAATGTGTTTGGAAAACGTAAATTGAACAGACCGGTTATGGGCTATTGTAAATCAGAAGTTAACGATAGTCTAGTAGTAAACTTCTGATTTACAAAGTTGTCGTAACTCTTTTAAAATTCTCCCTTTTAAAATTATTTATAGCATCCACATCGAAAAAAGTAAAAATAAAAACGTACTGCTAACTTACCAGCTGCAGTGTTGCGGATTCCCAGGAGAAGCAGAAACACAAAGTTTCCCATCTTGTCATTCAGCAGCATTGTTGTCGCTTGGTAAAAACCAGCTAATCGCCATAGTCCTACGCTAAAGGGTCTGGATTCTCGGCAGAAACATATTCTGTTTTCCCATGTGTTTGTGTCACCTGTCAGATTTTTGTCTTCGTACGAGTGTTTGTAAAGCTTACAATTTTTCAATAAATAAAGACAATTGAGAAACGACTACTTCCTGGAGGCGTGCTGTATGGCAGGCCGTCCTAACATAGAATTGGTAAACGTCAGATATTTGAAATAGTTTTATTACTTGATATATTAGTCAGTAAATTAAAATATCTCTTATGTTTTGACAAGACAAAATACTTCTTTGAAATATTTTATTACATTCTGACTGGTATAAAAGACTTGCCATTGAGATTTACCATTGAGTTGTATGACTACAATTAATTTGTTCTGACCACTCATAATTCTAAATAAAGACATATTGGATTTTAAATTACAGAAATATAAAATTGGATTATGACTAGACATTGGAAAATGTCTAGACCCTGCTCACATTTGCAAAAACAAATAAATTTAGTGTCAATCAGTCCGGCTAACCCTGCTACCCTCCTCCCCCTTAACTGTCAATTGGAATATTTACCCAGTAAAACAAATTATTTATTTTTCCATTCAGTTTCACCAATTTTTATGAGTTTTTCTTCAAATCGCTTAAGTTTTGCAACTTCTCATTCAAATACTTGGACGCAAAGTCAGCGATTGTGCAAGCCCTGACTAACTATGCTAGCTGTACAAACAGATAAAAGTGATGTCAAACATTTGTGCGGCAAACTGTTTTGTTTGTGCCGCTACCATTTTAAAGATATTAAGAAAAAGGTTCTCCAGGGGTCATCAGAGGTCAACCACTCCCCAGACCCTGCTCACATTTGCAAAAATAAATAAATTTAGTGTCAATCAGTCCGGCTAACCCTGCTACCCTCCTCCCCCTCAACTGTTTGCAAAATGGTTTTCTTTCTCTTCTACAAATAAGTTGTCAGTTTAAACTTATTTTTGCAGGACCTGTAACCACGTTGTGTTACATGTGCATTTGTGAATTATGAGACTGTTTTAGCTCTAATATCAACACTTGCTAGCGATCTCAGTGATTTAAACTAAAAATCTACGCTAGTGCCTCTGCATGCTAGTAGCATCAGGATGATGTCTTTCTATAGTTTAATTTATTGTAATTAAAGTAACTGTTTGACAGGGTTTGTCTTCCTAAACCAAGGTAGGAGCTCCGGCTTTTATTCGCTGTCTTCAGCACTAACATAATAATAGCCTTTGTATATTCTGAGAGCCCAGAGCTTTTCTCCATTGAGGGTGATTTTTTTAAACATGCCCATCTTATCAGAATGCTGAATATATTATGATCAAGAGAGGTGCACCAAATCATGACTGCATGTTGCAGTTAATAGTCACCCCATTGTTGCCAAATCAGTGACTTTCTTGCTATATTTACCAACATTTTTGAAAAGATAAAGGTATCAGCAAAAATCAGAATCAGCAAGTCGGGGCTTTTAAATATCAGTAAGCATCAGAAAGTATTCAGTGGTTATAACAATGAGAGGAAGACAAATAAAAAAGAGGCTCAGAGGTTCCAATAAACATTTCTACAAAATTGTCTCGAATCTTATCGTGTGGGCTTTAAATTACATTTTTGTATTTAAAAAAAACTTCATCAAAAACTTACCTTTCATCAACAAAATCAAATCAAAGAAAAATTTATTTGTATAGCACATTTCAGCAGCAAAGCATTTCAAAGTGCTTTACACCATTAAAAACACCACAGTCAGGTAACATTGAATAAACAAACAAAAAAACTAATTAAAACCTGCAGCCCTTTTTTAACCCTTATGACTTTAGTTAAAACGCCATCATGAGACGGAAGGTAGGCTATTGTAAAAATACAAATTTAATAACGTCATGAAATTAATAACTTTTTGAATGTTTATCAAATAAAAAACATGGGCCAACAACACATGTTGTACATAATCTTTTTAAAAAGCTTTAATCTTTTTAAATAAAAAAACAGCTTGAACAGCAGAATCAGAGTCGAGTCCCTTCCAACATAATTACAGCAAAATATATTTTTTAAATATTTAACATTAGTTTGATTTAACAATGTGAAACTAAACAGCAAGAATATTTGAAGAAAAACACTAAACAATATAAAACAGAACACAGAAGATGTAGATCTGATGTTTAATTTGACTGCAAAGACTCAATGAATCTCTGTTTTGGTGCCTTAGTGTCCAAAATCCACATTTGTTTCTTTTTTCTATTGAGACAGATACACAAGGAGAGCCATTGTTATTTATTTACATGTCGAAACAACCAATGAAAATATGTTGTCGGTCTGTTGCTAGGTAGAACGGAGACACGTGATGTGAGACGCTGTGGAGAGTTTTGGGTACGGGAAGAGACTGGAGTGCAGTGATGCTGTGGATTTTATTAAGAGTGTTTCGATGGGTTTTTTACACTATAAGTGTGTTATTTAGAGTTCGTGGTGTGTGCAGTGTTGGTAGTAGTTTTGCTAGCCATCGCTACATGGCTTCAGAGCGAGCGCTGACGCACTGAGAAGAGAGACTCCAGGCCGGGATGGCCATTTAGACTCCAGACTCCTAAGGCAATAAGGTCTAAGGCAGTTCAATTAGAAAATAGTTGGGTCAAATCCATCATCTTTTCCAAGGAGTAAAACTGAATAACCATCCTGTCATAAGAGGTGGTGGTAGGTGGTGAGGAGAGACGCAGAGACACAGGTCATGGTGAAAATGAGGGCGGTGTCGCCGGCGCAGG